GTCGGCGGCGGCGCGGGAGCCGCTAGGACGCGGCGGAGCGGGGTGGGGCGGGGGCAGAGCTGGGGGACTGGTGTAGGAAGCCCGGACGCCTGGGTTCCCTGCGGGGGGCGGCGGCGGGGGCCTTTCGCCTGCTCTCCCCTAGCCTAAGTTAGGAACTCGGGCGCGCAGGGATGTGCTGCGGGGAGAGACGGCGTCGGTAGGGACGGGGTTCCCCCGTGGAGTTGGGGTTAGCTCGGGCCACTGCAGAGATGGGGCACGCGCGCGCGTGTGTGTAGGTTCCCCGTTTGTCTGTGCGCATCTGGGACATACACAGGTGGGGCGGTGTTTGTCACCTGGGCTCCGGTCCGGCCATCCCCAGCATGAGAAGGACGGTGGAAAGGGGTGCGTGTAAAAGAGAGACCTCACGTCTGGGGGGAGCGGGGGGCGGAAGGGAGCGTGAGTGTGTGTGTGCGTGCGCCCCCCCCCCCACACATTTGGGGGGACCTCCTCAGGCACTCAGAGACTCCAGGCGTCTGAGTTCTTCACAACCATTACTTCTACCCCGCCTCCCAGTCCAGAAAACCCAGGCGCCGGGACTCCCACCCAGCCCCACAAGAAATGACGTGACAATGAAACTAAAAAACCCACATTTTTATTGGGATTTTTTTTGCCCCCAGAATAATGGATCCCGCCCCACATGGCACAAAATAACCTCCGATTCGTGGAAAGACAGCTGTTGCTAGGCAACCCCCAAACAACTTCTCCATGGGGGAGGGGTGGGGGGGGATAGGAGTTGCCTTATCCCACCTGCCAGGGGGCTGGGGGAAATTGAGGGATCCAGGGTGCGGGTCTGTGTATGGGGGCAGTCCCTGGACTACCAGGGGGGCAGGCTGGTTGGGCAGGATTCTGGTAGTTGGGGTGTCCCATTGGAAGTGGGGATGGGGGGGGTCTCTGCAGTGTGGGGCTATCCCTGAGTGCACCTTGAGGGGGGGTTGGGAGGGAATGGGGGGCCTTAAACACAGGGGAGTGGTCCCCAGGGTGCCCGGAGGAGGTCTCAGGGTGTAAGAAGGTCCCATGTGAGGTCCATAGGAAGTTTTGGAGGGTTCCCCAGGGTCTGTGTAGGAGAAAGTCCTTGGGTATTGGGGGGCTCCAGCTGTGGGGGGAGGGATCCCCAGTATGTCCTAGGGAGGGGTTCCTGGGTGCATGTGTGGGCCTGAACGACCCCTGAGAGGCTTTGGTGGGGCCAGTTATGGGGGCCCTGGTGTCAGAGGCTGGGGCCTGGGTGTGGGCAGTCTCTAGGTCTGTGTAACAGTGCCTGGGGGCCCCTGGATGCGGGCGGCTGGGCTGGCTGTGGGGAAGGGGGGTTCCTAGGGGTCTCTGGTTGGGGAGCAGGGAGGACCGCGGCCCCTCAGCCCTGTAGGCTGCGGGGAAAGGGGTTGTCGCTGGCGCCGCCCTGGAGAGCGAAGTAGACGAAAGTGAGGAAAGCGGCCACGGCCCCGAACACCAACAGCTGCAGCCAAAGGGGCAGGGAACGCCCGGGGGGGGCGGGGGGCGCTA